GTTAAAAGCTTAGGACAGGAACTAAAGAATATGAATTTTAACAATCACACAACTACCCTACAAATTAATGCTTTTGACTGACAACTATATTTTTATTTAGTGGTTGTAATACTCTTTATTGCCAACTGTACTAAGAGTTATGAACTTGAGATTAAACAGCAATTCCAGAGAGAACTACTGATGAGGAAGACCCTCCTGAAACACAGGTGGCACCAGCCACGGAGCATGGAATACACAATAACAGAAGAAAAAGGGAAAGTCAGTGTGGTGCTAGCATCCTTCTCTGTATTGTCTCTTGTCCTCAGACAGGAAGAATGGGTTCCACCAAGTGCCCTTCAGCACATGCACATGAGACACACCCCATGGAACAATCCCTCTGAATGGTAAACTCAAGTAATTCCTTTTTATTTCATATCAGATATTTTGTGACAATAACAAGAAAGATACAGTGTTACAGGTCTCCAAATCTGAGCAATCAGGGAGCATGCAAGATGATTCACTGAAGTACTAGGAGGGAAAAAGGACAGTAAGGTAAACTTGTATTTAAATGAAGGTTTATTAATAGATAACAGATATATTGATACAGATGTTGACACTTGATCTGGATACAAAGTGAATTAAGAACAAGGCCTAACAGTGGTGCCCTGACTCCCTCATTCACCAACAATTTACAGACAACTCACAAAACAGTAAAGTAGCAGAAGAGGATCAGTAGGGGAAATGACAGCCAACCATAGTAATTCAAGAAAGGACACAACCAAGTTTTCTCCTAAATTTGCTCTTTGCTAAATTACAAGGTTAAAAGTTATGAAAAAAGATTTTTTTAAAAAGTCCAATGATAATTTTTAGGAAAAAATGCTACCAGAAGACTATTTTTATTTAAAAAGTTTACTGAAATACTTAGAGTTTGTGCTTTTGTGACTGAAAACCTAGCTCATTACCTAGCAAAAATTTCAAGTTTCACAATATAATAACTTGGAAATAACTTCTAGACCTACTTTTAAATCTCCAAAACATCAACACAAATAATTTTTTTTAAATATTCCAAAGTGCTTCTGTAAGCTTATTTTCTTCATTCCTACCTATGGGTTTTGCTAAAACAGCTCAGTACTGACAGTGTGGCCTTTTTCACAGAGTAGGACTTAATGACTGAACACATCACATTCATATTGCAAATTTTCAGTTACTCATTGCGATTAATTTTATCTTAAAAGTTTTAGGGGCACGTTCCTCAGATAAAGCTACTACTAGACATCGCCTACTCATCCAAAAGTAACTTTGTGACAAGGTAACCTTATCTGAAGAGACTTGGTTGCAGCTTTAAGTCTAGAAACATGCTTTTCTTTTTCCTTTGGGCATTACAAAAACTCAAAGACCTCTTTTTGCACGGTTAATGGGCATTTAAAAAATTTCAAAAAGAAACTGATCTTCTCAGGTGCTACCATTCCCAAATCTCATACTTAGACAATCTTGTCCACTCTAGTCATCAGGAATATTTTTTTCAGTTCAAGCAAAAAGTTAACAAAAATGTTAAAATGTTTTGACTCTATTGTCTTGCACAACTACAACCAATAGTTGTACTTGCAAATTAGTTCCAAAATCTACCCACTTATCACTTTTCCACCAGTATCATAGAAGCCTAAGTCTTTATTACCTGTCTATAATTACTGCAGAAACAAAAGAGCTTCTCTTCCTGGGTTTCCTTTTTTAACTAAACAGTCTATTCTTTAATCTATCAGTGACTCTTATATCACTAAAATATAAGAGCTTTACTCTCAAAAACTCCCCAACAGCTTCTGCATTAAACAAAGAGAAGCCAGAGTCAGTGGTCTCACTGGGTTCATAAGACATCACAGAATCTTGTTTCTTAGTGCAACTGCTCTCATACTTCAATTCCTGCTCCTTCACCAGACCAGTGGCCTTCTTGTCAGTTCTCAAAACTAGTAAATATGATCCTAGCTCATGTCTTTGGGCCTCTTCTTTACTGGAGTGCTTTCTTCCCATATATTCATTAGGCTATGTTCACCTACTGTACAATGTCTTGGTCCATCCATAGAAAATGATAAATTGGGCCAAGTGACAAAACTTACCTAGAGTGTACAAAGCCCTGGCCTTGATTCCTAGTACTGTAAAATAGTGAACTCCACCACTTTATTCCAAATATTTCCTCTGCTTCATTTTTTCCTGTTATCATTTGTGACCATTGAAAACAGATAGAGGTTTGTCTATCTCTTCACTTCCAGTGGGAGTGTGGCTAGTGTTTTTGTTCATTAACACAGTTTGCCATTGGCACAAATTAAACAATAAATAATTACCCAAATCAAATATCTACCTAGAACTATATTTTCCCCCAGTGTTGCCTGGCATCATTAAAAGTTTTTCCAACTACTAAATAAATTTTCCAATAATATTTACAAATTGTGCCTAATACTTCTTGCTTTAACTGGCTCTTAGTCCCACTCAATATTCTGTTTCTCTCTTGGAGGTTATGAGTTTTGCCTCCTTAGCAAATTATTAATCTGGTACCAATTTTGTCACTCCTTTCTAGTACTTTCAGGGTTTTATCTTGCTTTATAGAAAGCATCGTCTAAAAATTGTGTCAGGTAACTTTTGAAAATTCAAATTCTTTCATCTCAACCAATGAGAACACTCCTGAGTGTTCTCACTATAGATATTTTAACTTGTATACTTTCTTTTGTCTATTGTTCTAATCAGTAATGATCACAGGCAAGAACTCAATTACCTCTATTTCTGGGGGCTGATGGCTTGTTAATCAGAAATTTGTCAATTCAAACATAAGGAAATCTCCACTTTCCCCACTGAAGACTTGCCCTTTCTAAACTCAGTGAAAATGAGCTCACCATGAAACCCATAAACAACACCTGAAGGTAGTCTTCTTGGCAGCATAAATGTGACCACCACCACTTTTCCTCTAACTCTATGATCTTTGAATGAAAGACTCAAGAGTTCAGAGCCCATATTCTGGTAGACAGAACACAGTGTAAACTACGTGTCCTGTTTTAGTGTCACAGACACTTACCTAGAGATTAAGAACGATCACTAAGAGAAAGAGGGATGCGAGTTACAAGTAATCAAGCCTTCTCCTGGAACACCACTGGTGTTTAAGACAAGCGTTAACAAATATGTGCTCAAAGATGTAATTACAGGGTGACAAGATGAATATACAAGAGAATAGTATAGTAAATACTACAACAGAGAAGTTGTGGAGAAATACAAGACCCTAATAAGCAACAGGACACTAGACCACTAGGAAGAAAAGATGCTCAAATGTAGATTCAAGGCTTAAGCCATACAAGTATCATGAAGTTCATGGCTTTTGTTTCCTCTATCAAGAAAAGGATAAGGCCACTTCTGGGTAAAGACAATGGAAAAGTACTGGGTTTCAGTTGCATAATCAAGGAATTGGTGGGAAAGTGAGGGAGGAAGAAATGTATGGAAGAAAAAAAAATAGCCAACAAAAACATAAAGCACAGCACCTCACGCTAACGAGAGAGAGACACAGGAAGGGTGATTGCAGTGTAGGAAAAGAAAGTAACATCTCAACAGTTCTTATTCAAAGTCTACAAAAATTCCTCAGAGAAAAGTTCTCCATTAATATAAAGCTCTTTCCTACCATAAGTATATTCAGGGATGCTTTTTGTCTGGTACCCAGCAGTCAGCTTACAACTCAAGGTAGCCTTTGTAAAAAAGATGCATTTAAAAAACGACCTAGGTACTGGCACTTTAAGAAAATCTTGAATTTACACATCGCACACAATCTCCCTTTCTCATCTCTCAAGCCCAACTTGAGTGAAGCTTCTAGTGTAGAGGAACCCTCTCATCTCCACTAACTCTTCTCCTTGATTTACTCTTTGTGTAACTTGGATTCCACCTGCTGTTAACACATATCACCTAGCAAATGTCTCCAAATCCCTGGTCTGCTGCTACTTCTAAAAAAAAAAAACTAAAAATAAGTATTAAATAAATAAATAAATAAAATCTAACACTATACTTACAAAAATAGCAGTTCAATGTTTCTGGAGAAATATCACATCAGAAGTCTGCCTAACTCCCAAAGTCACATTCTGCCATATCTCCTTTTTAAGTAAAGATTCTCAAATAATTTTTCCCTTCAAGGTCCAATGTCAACGCTATCCTTAAACTATTTTAAACCTCAAATATTTTATCCATGGCTCTACATTTGTTTCTGTAATGGGTTATTAATTACAAAGGCATTTTCAAACTGTCTCAGTCAAAACCACCAATACTGTGCTAAATGACGAGGTAAACTGTGCTAAAACTACTTCATGAGCCATAAGGCTCACTTTCCTATTTCTCAGGAATTAGAGTCCTGATAAAAATCATTCAAATCGTTCCATTTCAAAGAATGTTTATATTACCTGACAATTTAAAAAAGAAAATGATGCCATCACATTTAGTCTGCTAATTCTAGGAAGGCAGTTCTGTTAAGAATCCACAACTTTGTTTTACCAGTCAACAACCTGGTGCGTTCTCTCCCAGGAACTGGTCAGCAAAGAAAGCAGAGTCCAATAAAATATCAAAATATAATGACAGAATTTCTCAGATGGCTCCAGGTTCAGTGTGACCTCAGCTCTATATATTAATTCAGTATTCTTTTATAAGGATGTAATATAAAGTATAAATTCTGGAACAAAGGATCTACTATAAGACAGATTACAGAGCTACTTGATTAGGTTTTCTATAGTCATTTAAAAAAACAGCTATTAAGTCTTTCAATTCACACAAAATGCTGATCACTATGTAATTAAATTTTTAAAGAGGAACTTTTTCGGAAAATGAGAAAGAAAACCCCTACCTGGTAATGTGCTATTAACATGTACATCCCCGAGTCTTAAAAAAATAACCCAACAACACATTCGCTTAGTTCACAGACATAGATCTAAGAGCAGATGATTGAAGGGAATAGAAGAATAAAGTTGCTATTTTATTGAGCACTTGTGAAAAGAATGAAAATGAGATTTGGAATGGCCCATTAAATCCTTTATTAAAAACTGTCACATCAGATTCACATATTATTACTGGTGTTGCCAATACGATAATGTTGTTAATGATTCAATTGTATTTGACTATATAGAAAGGTGGTTTGGCTTGAAATTTATAAAATGTCAAAATCAGAATATTTATATGTAAAATATTGGAATATACTTTTAATACTATTACAATAACAAGAAATTTGATATACTTCAACTGTAAATTCAGTAGGTCAATGAAGCCTGATGACCTTACGAAGAGCTCTAATTCTAGAAATTATTTAACGTATTAACTGAGAAAAAAAAGACTAGCTGGATTTAACTCATTGATTCCAAAAAGTAAACAGCTTTATTTTCTGAAAAGACTATGTCTACACATCACATACATCATTTTAATAAAGAAAACATCCCAAACTCACAGTACTTTCTGCCTTCTTGGTAGGCATGCACTCACTGCATACCTGTGTATGTATATACACAAACACACACACACACACACACACACACGCGCGTGTGTGTGCACGTATGTACATGCGTATAAACACACACACATACATACATACATACATACATACATACATTCACACTTCGTTTGTTGTGTTTTGTTCGGGGCCTTTTGGGGGAATTAAGGGAAGGTGGATATATACCCAAGATCTTTTTATTTTATTTTTTTGGCGGGGGGCAAGGGGGGAAGCGGAGACAGGGTTTCTCTATATACCTTTGAAGCCTGTCCTGGAACTTGCTCTGTAGACCAGGCTGGTCTCTAGCTCACAGAGACCTACTACTTACCCTCTGCTTCCCAAGGACTAGGATTAAAGGCATGCACCACCACCACCCGGCTATCTCCAAGATTTTTAACAGCAAAATGTTTCGTGTAAAATAAAGTCCACAATTTAAAGCTAAGAAAAATGGAATGAGAATGAGAATATTTCACCAGGTAACAGAGACCTCAAATGAAGCTCTATTCAGGAGTTAATTTGCTTCACATGATTAAGCAACCAGTGACAGAGGCCACTACCATAAAGGGATGAAGTCACCTATCAAGAACTATAACTGGGGTTGGAGGCTGAGTAGCTTTACTTATGTTTAAAATAGAAATAAAATGCAACAGCACACAAAATACTTGAAAAGATTACTAGCTTAATTTTGACATACTGCAATCCAACCTTTTAAATTTTGGCACAAATCTGGTTGTAATTCACAAACTTTATTCATATAAAAATGCTTACTGCATTTAAGTATATGGCAATTTATAACTTCCAAGATACCCTTATGAACAATTCCTAAAATACACACAATCCCAAACACATCAATGACCTGAAAGCATTACTAAACGATACTTACTAAAAGGAATTCTTTATACATTCATTTGTACATTTTCAATTTTTTCTTAGTTGTTCTGCCAACATGTTAGTGCAGAAACTATGCTGGGGACAATACATACTTCTAAACATGGCCAGGAATACATCAAAAAAATTAGGACCTAATTTAAAGCCCCCAATCAAATTCTCTAAGTCAAGGTTAATCAATTCTCCTTTATAAATTATGAAAATCATCATATGAAAATTAAGTCCAAGTGGATAATGGAAATTCAGTCCAGTAATTTCAAAGTGAACACAATTAAATTTAAATTTCATTTATTGGAAAAACAGCAGGCAACAGCTTTTCAGTTAAAAAGAAACTTCTATAGATTTTATGTAATAATTTTCAACATTCTATATGAATTTAAGTTAGACTGAATAATAAATCTTTTGACTTGTGTGTGTATGCATGTATGTGCATTCACACACATGCTTTAATAAAATTCACTGGAGTGGGGGGATTAAAAATAAATCTTCTCTAGTTTAACTGTAATTTTGCCTTTAAACAATTTCACAATCTATGGTTTGGAGTGTAACTAACTCACTGGGAGAAGTGCTTGCTTAAAATACACATGGTTCTGGGCTTATTCTTAAGACAACAAACAAACAAACAACAAAACAAACAAAACCCCACAAAGATTAAAGCCACTTTCTAAATGATTCTGACCAGCTTTAGTAACTACTATATTTATAATTTTGTAAGAATCTTTAAAATGTCAAATAATTTTGCATAGCTCATCAGTGCAATGAATAATCCCTTCCCAAAACCTTCAAAAAAAAAAAAAAACAAAGAACACTGTCATCACTTTGCAATAAGAAGTCTCAGACATTTTTATTTAGGAAATGTTTCTTCAATATTTATTAGATAGTGAATTTTCATTTAAGTGAGAACCTTTTTGTGTAGACTAACTCAAACTATACCTTTCTTTTCATAATTGAATTATATCTTACTCTGGATAGCAAAGAAATGAATAGTTCTTTGAACTTAAATACTTAAGATTTTCCTCGTCATGAATTAGTTCTTCCTGTACAAACTGCTGTTCTGCTGCTGCTAGAGAAGAGTCAAGTAATAAGCAAACAGGAAACAAACCACAAATTATACTAATTAATAATGAAATATATTAAATGTTTAAATATTAAACAGCAAAATACTCCTTGTATATTAAATAAATAAGATTTGAATTTGTCATTTGGGGATATAGGCCAATATACCAATGAGAGATGGTCTAGTGCAAAGAGTGGCCTCAAAACATACATACACACACACACACACACCATACATAGATGAAGAGAAAAAAAGAGGGGAAAACACAATATTTAATACTGGTATTACTTCCAATAACACTTTAAACGGGTGAATCTCACTCCCCCCCCCACACACTCACACACAAATTATCTGGAAAACTTTTGAAAATTAATGACAATTGAGTTTATCCCAGAAAATAAGAGTAAGGATTCAGATATATTTTTCAAATCTCCTTAAATGGTGAGCTTCTGATTAAAAACGCCTTTTTTTTTCTTACTGTTACTTAGCACCAAGACTCCAAATAACAGTGAACCTTCCTTTACAAGCACGGCTGGCAAAAGTGCCTCAGTTAGCGCCTTACAGATAAACTGAACTCACTGATGCACACTCATTTTCATGAAACGATCTATTTCTTATCACTGCTTACAATTCTTTATTCTCAAATTCTAACATCAAATGAGGTCAAAACTATTTTTATGGACTGAATCACTTATGTTGAAAACACATCATCCATTTACACACATAAATAACTACTGAATGCCTACATGTGCAAGGCACTATGTTAGGTGCTGCTGTAGAACTGAGTCACAAGAGAAAATGAATGATTGGCTGAGCATAGTGGATTTTTATAATTTACTTTTCCGCCTTTATTTTTATAATTAATCACTATAAAATTTTATAAACTTACTTAGGGAACGAATACTTTCAAATTAAAAAAATCTAAAATGTATAGGCATGTTTATGTGTAGGTAATGAAAGAAAGGAGACTATGATACAGAAGAAAGAAGAGTTCTTAGGGAAGGGTAAGGAAAAAAGAGAAAGAAAGAATATATGCAATAGGAAAACAAACAGGGAACTAGAGGCAAGAGGGCTGGGGAGACGGCGGTGAGAAGAGAATACGTAAAGGGGTGTGTATATACCGAAATGCTATCATGAAACTCATTACGCTTCCACCTTGAATTTTTTTTTAAATCTTAAAAATAAAACAAACAAAAAAATTCCCAGTGCATAAAAAGAATCTGATTTCAAGATACATGAAAAGCATAGTTCCAGGTTTACTAAGTTACAGAGTATACCCAGAAACCTTTGACTACACACAAAACAAATTTAAAATAGAAAAATAAACCATGTTTTAATCATACTCTGCTATCAAGTAAATTTCAGATAGTAAGAATAAATACCAAATCTCTTTATGGAAAGGTAGTAAGTAGTTCATGTCCACTTTGCAGTAGTCTTAAGTAATTTACATTAAAGTATTACAGGTTTGACTCACTGACTATTTTATTGTGGATAAAAGTTTATTCAATACATAATTTAAGAATAGATTTATATGCTGAGAAATTCTGTGAATAAAGTGAGTTTTCTTTTACCAGAAAGAAGAGGATGCAGGAGAATGGGAAATTGTGGGCAAAACCTACTAACACTAAAAATGTATTAAAGTCATTTAAAACATTAGCTGCTTCTCTTCTGCAAAGCCCACTGAATTCCACCTGAATAAATATCTTTTCTGTTTTTACTGATATTGGGTTTTTATAGTAAGTTAATAAAATAAATAATACTTGTTTCTCATCTTTATGATAGCATTAAATTCTAAAGAGGCTAAGTATCCTCACAAGAATGAAAGAAAAAGCTAAATGTCTTACTGCTCTCCCCACATCCCCCAATTTGATAACCTAAGAGACAGCCACTGAGTAAAACAAGACACAAGGTGGGATGGTCAACAGTTCTAATGACAAAAACTCGATTTCAATGAATAAACACTCCTTTTAAGTAGTAAAAGATAAACCAGGACTAAGGAGCATGGTAATTCATTGCAGCTTAGATGCAACACTCTGTCTAAAGTAGAGAAATAGTAAAATACTTTACTAAGTTAAAATATAGGTTTTATATTTTATACCACATTGAACACACATAAAAATACCAGTGGTTTTTTTTTTTTTTGTTTGGTTTTTTTTTTTATCTTGTTTCTGTTCAGACACGTAAGCAAATGTGTTCTTTGGTGCCTGGGAATTTATCAATATTTAGGGATAATGGAAGATAAGAAGTCCCAAGTTGACATGTGTACAAATAGAAGACTCAAAATCCTATAGCATATAAGAATCAAACTTAGAAGTTCAAGTTACACTGTAACTAGGTTGATACGTACTCAGTCCCCCAAATCATACTTTAGTTTCCCAAGTAAAAGTCACTACAGCCTATTACACTTTAATATTTGTTTTTTTGGTTTTTTTTTGAAATTTCTTTTCAAGTGGAAACATATCCCAGATAGAAATATATCACTTTAAGTTTAAAATCATCAAAGTCAACAAAGAGAATGTACATTCATTAAATGTATTCATTTACAAAAGAAATCTTGAAAAGGCTGAGTTCAACTGAAACTGAAGACTTGTTCTTGATTTTTCATTATTCCTTTTTAAACATGAGTTAGTATAGACATAGTATAGACACAGGCTGACTTTCAACTGATTTAATAATTACTTCCCTTTGGTGGGGTTTTGAAGTTCTAGAGTCTAAAATTTAAAACCATTCATGAGAGTATTTTCCAGTAAAAGGAATCATAGAGCAATGAAAAATCAGAAGCAAGATGGCTTAGAGAGCCTAATAACTTCTAAATATACACACATTTATAACCTGCATTTATTTCTAAAGAAACAAATTTTAAGTAATGCTAATTTAACCAATAGAGAAAAAGCTTCTATCAAAATATACAATTTCCATTACAGACTAGAAGGCTAATATTAAAAAAATAGTTGTAAGCCAAAAAAGTTTGCTTGTATGGATGGGAGGAAATGCCCCTTTGAAGCACACAGCATCAAACAAGGTCTTATAAAAGACTGCTCTGTGGTCTTCTTCATTTGCAAGTTCTTGATGAATTCATAAAGCTTGGGTTTCAGTCTGTAGATCAAGCTATATCCATGCTTCTTAAACCAAGTTTTCAGAAAAGGAGGAATCAAATGATTCAGAATCTCAAGTGGGATTTATGCTTTACCATGTATCTGGAGAAAAAAATAGAATAATAGGTTATGATGGTGATACAAAAATATACTAATGGATTATAATGACAATACAAATTTTGAAATTTTAAGACTATTACATGTAAAAAGGGATGACACTTCTTTATAACTTTAAAATCACTAAGGGACAAAATACTGTTTTTACTAAGCAGCTGGAAACTAGATTCTGGAATTTCTGAAAAATAGCAAGCAAAAAAAAAAAAGCCAAAACATTTTCTAATTAAATTCTATAACCTAAGAGCTTATTGGAAGTACATTTGTCTTACTACCAGTTATAGCCATGACTTTGAGAAAACCGACACAACCCAATAAGAGATACTAAACAAGAAATAGTTTTCAGGGAACATAACAAACAGCAGCTGAGTCTACAGTATTATGATAATTCACTGTTGTTATGTTTGTAAGTTTCAGAACAGTTGTTATTTTAAAGGACTTAACAAGTTCTATCCTAGTAATTCAAATAAATGTAAGAATTAAATTCAAGCTTTCAGGGGTAAAGCCCTGACACCAGGCTCCCTAAGCAGATAGAAAATAAAGTTCAGGCTTCTGAGGAGTGGGTGGGGGGTGGGGCAGGGAGTAGGTGGCAGGAGTGGGAGGAGGGGAGGGAGTGGGAACTGGGATAGGTATGTAAAGTGAGAAAAGATTTTTAAAAAATTTTAAAGAAAATGAAGTTCAGAAGGTTACACAATTCATGACAGCAAGATCACAAAATCTCTGACTTCTCACACAGAGTTTAGTGTGCCTTCTAACAGACTCTAAACTCTACATTTACATATTAAGTCAATAATTCAAAGCATTTATCAATCATCAATTATTATGTTGGCATCAAATCAGACTATATTCAAAGCAAGGGATTACAGAATATAGCTTATAACTTTAAAGATTTTAAAATTCTGATAAAAAGCACTAAAATAAAGCATGTATGAATATATTTTAGGATCACAATTACCTATCCAATGTTTCCCAGAAACGTAAGAAAACTGGTCGATCCAAATGACGCTTATGATAGCTGAGTTCTAATACTGTTACATCCCATTTTTGAACATTTGGATCTAGACGAACTTCATCATACTTGAGGTGGAAGGCTTTAACTACATGGGAAACATGGAGTAAAAAATAGCATTCTTATTAAAACTGTAGCCAAAATTATGGAAACACTTTCTGGAAAGAAAGTATATAGAAAGACAAGTACTAAAACAAACAAAATTCAAATTTTTCTATTACCAAACTGAAGCTATATTAACATGATTACCAGTGATCTGTGAAACAGGTGTTAAGCACTACTGTACCATCAGAGATACTTAAATTGGAGATTGAAATATCAAATAAGGTAAGATAAAAATTGATGATTCTGTGAAGGATAGTAAGATAAAGACAACTCAAACACAATGCAGTAAGGGAGCACAATATCAGAGACATAAAAGGACGCCTTCTCACAAGACAGAAATTCAGAGATGGTTCACACAGGCAGTAATGTTTAACTTAAAACTTAGAGAAAAAACAAGCAAGCAATGGACAAAATGACACGGTATTAAGAGAATGCTGATATTGAGCTTGTTTCAAACTCGGTAGCTCTGATACAGCAAGCCATGACAGTTAAAAATAAGGATATCAGAAAGTTTTTGGATGGTGTCTATGTGTCTGAAAAGCAGGCTGATGAGTAAGACCTAAGTTACCAGCTCCAGAAACAAGATCCTGAATTTTATTACGATTTGGGGTGTCTTTTGGGACAATAAAAGACTTGTATTGAAAAAAAAAAAAAAAAAGAAAGAAAGAGAGAGAGAGAATGCTTAAAGAGAAAATGGTTTAGTCTTAGAAGTGAAAATGCAAAGAGTGATACTGGTCTTAGAAGCCCCTATCAGTGAGTGATATGGAAAATAATCACAAAATATTTGCTAGATAAAGGAAAGAAGTTCTTCAGTTGAGTAGAAGAAACATAACCAGAATAACAAATACCTGAGAGATTAGATTACTAAGGGAGTGAATCTGGTAGATTTTTGTCAACAGGACACAAGCTCAGGTAATGCAGGAAGAGGTAACCTCAACTGAGAAAAATCCATCAAAATGGCCTGGAGTGAAGTCTGTGGGAGCATATTCCTGATTAATGACTGCTGTGGGAGGACCCAGCCCAGTATGGGCAGTGTCATCTCTGGGCAGGCTAAGCAAGCCACAAAGCTTTCCTTCCTGGTTCCCGCCTGCCTCTAGGCCAGCTCAGTTTCTGCCCTGATGTCTGTCAATAATGAACACGAACACACACACACACACACACACACACACACACACACA